TCAGCAGGATAATGTGATTATGACAGGTGTGTAATATTCTTGTCAGCAGGATAATGTGATTATGACAGGTGTGTAATATTCTTGTCAGCAGGATAATGTGATTATGACAGGTGTGTAATATTCTTGTCAGCAGGATAATGTGATTATGACAGGTGTGTAATATTCTTGTCAGCAGGATAATGTGATTATGACAGGTGTGTAATATTCTTGTCTGCAGGATAATGTGATTATGACAGGTGTGTAATATTCTTGTCTGCAGGATAATGTGATTATGACAGGTGTGTAATATTCTTGTCAGCAGGATAATGTGATTATGACAGGTGTGTAATATTCTTGTCTGCAGGATAATGTGATTATGATAGGTGTGTAATATTCTTGTCAGCAGGATAATGTGATTATGACAGGTGTGTAATATTCTTGTCAGCAGGATAATGTGATTATGACAGGTGGGAAATATGATCATAGCATTAGAAGAGTGGTCCATGGTCTGCGAGAGAAACCCAGTAAGGTGGAGAAGTTCCAGTCCCCTGAAACAAAAAAGAAGAAAAAAGGGAAAGGAAAACATGAAGAAAAACAAAAGCATGGACTCCACAGGAAAGTATGATACAAATATGTATTAATTGATGTGTTATTTGTATGGTACACAGATTTGTAACTTTACTTTGAGCTGGCTGTTTTTAAGTGTGTATTTTTGCCATGTATAATTTTAACTGATTTTGCATAGTATTAGTTTGTTACTATTACAAGACATATTTAAATCAAATACTGTGAACAATTTAGATATCTTGGTGATTTAAAAAAAATACTGAGTTAGCTTTAAGTGGTAGGTTATGCTCAGACCGCACTGTAAAAGGTTTTATCATGTGCAAATTCTTGAATGCCATTTCAGCCAAAAATATCTTTTTTTGTATCTGACAGCTATTTGTAGCTAATGTGAACCATGTATTATGGTGAGCCCAACAATGTACTAACTGCAAAATTATGTTAAGGGCAAGCCATATTCAATGTGCATTTCAGCTTAGGGGGCAATTCAATTTATTGATAATTAATTTGAACCTGTTTTTAATGGAACATGTTAGTCCAATATGGTATAACAGACCCGGCATGATATGCAAAATCAGATATAAGATATGTCTTCTACTCACATCACAATGTGTTTTTTTCAGTGGTGTTCAAGTAGTTACAGATGCCACAATTATGTCCAGTTTGCTAAAGATGTCACAATGTTGTCCATTTATCATTTTGTCCAAGGAGTTAGGGATGTCATTATTTTAGGGATGTCATCATTTTGTCCAAGCAGTTAGGGATGTCACCATTTTGTCCAAGGAGTTAGGGATGTCACCATTTTGTCCAAGGAGTTAGGGATGTCACCATTTTGTCCAAGCAGTTAGGGATGTCATCATTTTGTCCAAGCAGTTAGGGATGTCATCATTTTGTCCAAGCAGTTAGGAATGTCATCATTTTGTCCAAGCAATTATGGATGTCATCATTTTGTCCAAGCAGTTAGGGATGTCATCATTTTGTCCAAGCAGTTAGGGATGTCATCATTTTGTCCAAGCAGTTAGGGATGTCATCATTTTGCCCAAGCAGTTAGGGATGTCATCATTTTGTCCAAGGAGTTAGGAATGTCATCATTTTGTCCAAGCAGTTAGGGATGTCATCATTTTGTCCAAGCAGTTAGGGATGTCATCATTTTGTCCAAGCAGTTAGGGATGTCATCATTTTGTCCAATGAGTTAGGGATGTGATCATTTTGTCCAAGCAATTAGGGATGTCATCATTTTGTCCAAGCAGTTAGGGATGTCATCATTTCGTCCAAGGAGTTAGGGATGTCATCATTTTGTCTAAAGAGTTAGAGATGTCATCATTTTGTCCAAGCAGTTAGGGATGTCATCATTTTGTCCAAGCAGTTAGGGATGTCATCATTTTGTCCAAGTAGTTAGGGATGTCATCATTTTGTCAAAGCAGTTTGGGATGTCATCATTTTGTCCAAGCAGTTAGGGATGTCATCATTTTGCCCAAGCAGTTAGGGATGTCATCATTTTGTCCAAGCAGTTAGGGATGTCATCATTTTGTCCAAGCAGTGAGGGATGTCATCATTTTGTCCAAGCAGTTAAGGATGTCATCATTTTGTCCAAGCAGTTAGTGATGTCATCATTTTGTCCAAGCAGTTAAGGATGTCATCATTTTGTCCAAGCAATTAGGGATGTCATCATTTTGTCCAAGCAATTAGGGATGTCATCATTTTGTCCAAGCAGTTAGGGATGTCATCATTTTGTCCAAGCAATTAGGGATGTCATCATTTTGTCCAAGCAGTTAGTGATGTCATCATTTTGTCCAAGCAGTTTGGGATGTCATCATTTTTTCCAAGCAGTTAGTGATGTCATCATTTTGTCCAAGTAGTTAAGGATGTCATCATTTTGTCCAAGCAATTAGGGATGTCATCATTTTGTCCAAGCAGTTAGGGATGTCATCATTTTGTCCAAGCAGTTAGGGATGTCATCATTTTGTCCAATGAGTTAGGGATGTCATCATTTTGTCCAAGCAATTAGGGATGTCATCATTTTGTCCAAGCAGTTAGGGATGTCATCATTTTGTCCAAGGAGTTAGGGATGTCATCATTTTGTCTAAAGAGTTAGAGATGTCATCATTTTGTCCAAGCAGTTAGGGATGTCATCATTTTGTCCAAGCAGTTAGGGATGTCATCATTTTGTCCAAGTAGTTAGGGATGTCATCATTTTGTCAAATCAGTTTGGGATGTCATCATTTTGTCCAAGCAGTTAGGGATGTCATCATTTTGCCCAAGCAGTTAGGGATGTCATCATTTTGTCCAAGCAGTTAGGGATGTCATCATTTTGTCCAAGCAGTGAGGGATGTCATCATTTTGTCCAAGCAGTTAAGGATGTCATCATTTTGTCCAAGCAGTTAGTGATGTCATCATTTTGTCCAAGCAGTTAAGGATGTCATCATTTTGTCCAAGCAATTAGTGATGTCATCATTTTGTCCAAGCAATTAGGGATGTCATCATTTTGTCCAAGCAGTTAGTGATGTCATCATTTTGTCCAAGCAGTTTGGGATGTCATCATTTTGTCCAAGCAGTTAAGGATGTCATCATTTTGTCCAAGCAGTTAAGGATGTCATCATTTTGTCCAAGCAATTAGGGATGTCATCATTTTGTCCAAGCAGTTAGTGATGTCATTATTTTGTCCAAGCAGTTAGTGATGTCATTATTTTGTCCATGCAGTTAGTGATGTCATCATTTTGTCCAAGCAGTTAGTGATGTCATCATTTTGTCCAAGCAGTTAAGGATGTCATTATTTTGTCCAAGCAGTGAGGGATGTCATCATTTTGTCCAAGCAGTTAGGGATGTCATCATTTTGTCCAAGCAGTTGAGGATGTCATCATTTTGTCCAAGCAATTAAGGATGTCATCATTTTGTCCACGCAGTTAGGGATGTCATCATTTTGTCCAAGCAGTTAGTGATGTCATTATTTTGTCCAAGCAATTAGGGATGTCATCATTTTGTCCAAGCAGTTAAGGATGTCATCATTTTGTCCAAGCAATTAAGGATGTCATCATTTTGTCCAAGCAGTTAGGGATGTCATCATTTTGTCCAAGCAGTTAGTGATGTCATCATTTTGTCCAAGCAATTAGGGATGTCATCATTTCGTCCAAGCAATTCGGAATGTCATCATTTTGTCCAAGCAGTTAGTGATGTCATCATTTTGTCCATGCAGTTAGTGATGTCATCATTTTGTCCAAGCAGTTAGTGATGTCATCATTTTGTCCAAGCAGTTAGGGATGTCATCATTTTGTCCAAGCAGTTAGGGATGTCATCATTTTGTCCAAGCAATTAGGGATGTCATCATTTTGTCCAAGCAGTTAGGAATGTCATCATTTTGTCAAAGGAGTTAGGGATGCCATCATTTTGTCCAAGCAGTTAGGGATGTCATCATTTTGTCCAAGCAGTTAGGGATGTCATCATTTTGTCCAAGCAGTTAGGGATGTCATCATTTTGTCCAAGCAGTTAGGGATGTCATCATTTTGTCCAAGCAGTTAGGGATGTCATCATTTTGTCCAAGCAGTTAGGGGATGTCATCATTTTGTCCAAGCAATTAGGGATGTCATCATTTTGTCCAAGCAGTTAGGGATGTCATCATTTTGTCCAAGGAGTTAGGGATGTCATCATTTTGTCCAAGGAGTTAGGGATGCCATCATTTTGTCCAAGCAGTTACGGATGTCATTATTTTGTCCAAGCAGTTAGGGATGTCATTATTTTGTCCAAACAGTTAAGGATGTCATCATTTTGTCCAAGCAGTTAGGGATGTCATCATTTTGTCCAAGGAGTTAGGGATGCCATCATTTTGTCCAAGCAGTTAGGGATGTCATTATTTTGTCCAAGCAGTTAGGGATGTCATCATTTTGTCCAAGGAGTTAGGGATGCCATCATTTTGTCCAAGCAGTTAGGGATGTCATTATTTTGTCCAAGCAGTTAGGGATGTCATTATTTTGTCCAAACAGTTAAGGATGTCATCATTTTGTCCAAGCAGTTTGGGATGTCATAATTTTGTCCAAGCAGTTAGGGATGCCATCATTTTGTCCAAGCAGTTAGGGAT